GTAATTTATGAAGAAGCTATTAATTCTATGAAAGCTAAGTTTAAATTTTTTTTCCCTATCCCCCATATTTTTGGTGTTGCTGCATTGTTAAATCCTACAATGAAATTAGGAGGTCCTCACTTTTGGTATTCAAAAATTTATAACGATTTATCACTTTTNAGCTATATATAAGCAATTTATACTAGTATATACATATATAGTTTACAAGAAAGTGCCTTAGATAAAAAAAATTTAAAAAAATAGCCTATATATATATATATGTGTGTGTGTATGTATATATATATATATATACACACACACACATATATATAAGGCAATATATATATCTCTAATACATATAAACTATATATATATATACATACATATATATAAGGCAACATATATTACATAAGGCAATATATAATTATATATACACATAACACACCCTTATATATACATACTATATATACTATATATATTTATATAGCTATATATAAGCAATTTATACTAGTATATACATATATAGTTTACAAGAAAATGCCTTAGATAAAGAAAAATAAAAAAATAGCCCGAATCGAAAAAAGCCCGTTTAGGCCCGCGGGCCCGGTCCATTTAGCCCGGGACCATGTGGGATTAGGACTGCCGTGGGCCGGTTCCACACATTGGGACCGTTTGGCCCGGGACCGCCTCAGCCCGGCCTGCCTCAAGCCCAGGCCCGGGCCCGGACCACAATACAACATTAATTTCAGATAGAGGTACTCAGTTTATTTCACAGTTTTAGAGGGCCGTGCAGCGAGAGTTGGTACTCAGGTTGAGTTGAGCATAGCTTTTCACCCTCAGACGGGTGAGTAGTCCGAGAGCACTATTCAGATATTGGAGGACATGCTGCGCGCTTGTGTCATTGACTTTGGAGGGTCGTGGGATCAATTTCTACCGCTCGCAGAGTTTGCTTATAACAATAGTTATCAGTCGAGTATTGAGATGGCTCCATATGAGGCTTTATATGGGAGACGGTGTAGATCTCCAGTTGGTTGGTTTGAGCCGAGTGAGGCTAGACTTTTGGGCACGGACTTAGTGCATGATGCTTTGGACAAGGTGAAGGTGATTCAGGAGCGGCTTCGTTCAGCATAGTCTAGACAAAAGAGTTATGCTGACATGAAGGTCTGTGATGTGTCTTACATGATTGGGGAGAAGATTGTACTGAAGGTTTCACCCATGAAGGGTGTTATGAGATTTGGGAAGAAGGGTAAATTGAGTCATCGGTTTATTGGGCCTTTCGATGTGTTTCGGAGGATTGGGGAGGTGGCTTATAAGCTTGTTTTGTCACCCAGCTTATCAAGTGTGCATCCGATATTTCATGTTTCTATGCTCCGGAAGTATATTGGCGATCCGTCTCATGTTTTGGATTTTAGCACAGTTCAGTTGGATGATGATTTGACTTATGATGTGGAACCAGTGGCTAGTTTGGAGCGTCAGGTACGAAAGTTGAGATCAAAGGATATAGCTTCAGTGAAAGTGTAGTGGAGAGGTCGGCCCGTGGAGGAGGCTATCTGGGAGACCGAGCGGGATATGCGGAGCAGATATTCTCACCTATTTGAGGCTTCAGGTATGTTTCTTGACTCGTTTGAGGACGAACGTTTGTTTAAGAGTGGGAGGATATAACGACCCGGCTGGTCGTTTCATGAGTTACCGCTCCATTTTCCCCCATTTCTGCTTCTTTATGTCTTGTTTAGCTATATTATGTGGTATCAGGTTGGTTGGTTCGGCTTCGGAGTGGTTTTGTAGAGGAATGAGACACTTAGTCTCTTAAGTTGGCCATTTAGTTGGAAAAGTCAATCGGAAGTTGACTTGTAAGTAAGCGATCTCGAAATTTAGTTTTTATGATTCAGATAGCTTCGTGAAGTGATTTTGGACTTAGGAGTGTGTTCGGAATGTAATTTGGAGGTCCGTGGTAGATTTAGGCTTGAATTGGCGAAATTAGAATTTCAGCGTTTTCCGATTGATAGTGGAAATTTTGATATCGGGATCGGAATGGAATTTCGGAAATTAGAGTAGGTCCATTGTGTCATTTGTGATGTGTGTGCCAATTTTCAGGTCATTCGAAGGAGGTTTGATAGATTTTTTTATTGTTTGCGGAATTCGGAAGTTTTGGAATCCTTAAGCTTGAATCTGAGGGTGATTTGATGTTTCGGCATCGTTTTGAGTGTTTCGAAGATTGGTATAAGTTTGAATAGTTGTATATGACTTGTTCGTACTTTTGGTTGAGGTCCTGGGGGCCTCAGGATGATTTCGGATGGTTATCGGGAAGTTTTGTAGTTGGAATTTGCAGCTGAAGTTGCTGAGATTCTGTCATAACTGCACCTGCGGTTAGGGGACCGCGGGTGCGATGCTCGCAGAAGCAAGAATCATTCGCAGATGCGGCATCGCTGGGCAGAAGGTATAAAAAGACCCCTTCACGAATTTTTGCTAAGTTTTGCCATTTTTGAAGACGGGAAGAGAGCTAGGGCAGTGGGTTTTCAAGGGATTCGAAAGGTTTTAGTTGGGTAAGCTTATTTAGCCTTATTATTTGTGTTTATGACCATTTTTCCATTGTTTAATCATGGTATTAGTGGAAAATCAGGGAAGAAAGTTGGAAGATTAAGGCTTGAAATTTGAGGCTTTGATTTAGGGATTTGAGGGGTCGTTTTTGGTCGGATTTTGGTGTATTTGGTATGTATGTATGTACTCGTGAAAGTGTAAGGATTCTAGTTTTGTGAATTTTATCGGAATCCGAGGCGTGGGCCCGGTGGTCGGGTTTGGCCAATTTCGAGATTTTTGAGTTAAATTGATAATTTTCATATGGGTTTCACTCTTTTAGCGTATATTGATGGTTGTATACTGATTTTAGTTAGATTCGGGGCATTTGGAGGCTAAATCGAGAGGCAAAGGAGTCGCGGGTTAGAGTTTGGCTTGGCTTGAGGTAAGTAATGCTTCCAAACTTGGTTCAGAGGGTTCGAAAACCTGAACTACGTGTTCTATGATTACTATTGAGGTGACGCAAATTCCAAGTGACGGGCGTATGGGTGTGCACCGTGAGAAATGCGGCCTGATCATTCCAGAGTACCGTTTAGTGACTCTTTCTTGCTAATATCTGTGTTGTACTTATGTGATTAAGTTAATGAGCTAAAAATCATGCTAATTATCATATTAAGGCTTCACGCCAATACTGTCGAGACCCGAGAGGCCGTTTCTTGCTATCATGTCATTAGCTTCAATTATATTCTGTACTCAGTCATGTTCATGCATATTATATCATGCCTCCGATTAATGCTATTTGCCATATCATCTTATTGTTCGGGCTAGTATCATGACATTTTTTAGCCCGTGTGTGTGGGACTGGAGAGTAACGACTGAGTGAGGCCGAAAACCTGTTATTGAGTAACAGTACGGGATCAGGGCAACGAGATATTGATCATGCCTTCATTGGCGTGATGCTTCTCCGGAGTCTTTACACCCCTCAGTGAGCCTAGTTGATGATATCGAGGGATGGATCTTCCCTGGACATGGATCTTGTCCGAAGTATTGATACCTGGAGATGGATCTTCTCCATAGGGCTGGAATGACCTTCTTCGATACTGGATGACTACAGTCAGTGATGTGTATATATTTCGGGATGGATCTTCCCTGGGCCGGGTGGCCATATACAGTACCGAGTGATTGAGCACTTGTGAGTGGAGGTATATGGAACAGTGATCATGCTATTTGTGCATTGGTACTTAGAGAGTTTCCTGAGCTTATTACTCTGTACTGGTCATGTTGTATTTACTTATTGTTGCTTTTACTTGAATTGGAAGCATGTCTACTTTCTGTACAATTAAATGTCGCTACCTGTTGAGGTTTGGTTCGTCACTACCGCTAGTCCATAGTTTGGACTTGTTACTTACTGAGTTGGTGTATTCACGTCACCCCCAGCACCCTTGTGTGCAGATCCAGGTATCTCGGGGCACGGTAGCGGTTGCTGATCGCACCAGTTGGAGACTCTTCTTTGGAGATTGCGAGGTAATTGCCTAGCGACCGCAGTTCCGCCTTCTCCTTCCTTATCTTCCTTGTAGTACTTTTGTTGTATTTTTCTCAGACTATGTAGTCTTGGTTATTTCAAACAGTTGTAATATTTTACTCATGACTTAGTGACACCCGAGGTCGGGCTGTATTTTTCGCTTGTTTTGAATTTCACTTATTTATTTTATTGGATTTCTGTTAAAAATTTGGTTTTACTTTAGCCTTAACAAAAATATGAAGTATTTGGTAATAAGTTGGCTGACCTAGTATCACGATAGGCGCTATCACAACCGGGTCGATTTTTGGGTCGTGACAATAAAATCCTTCTCCCTCGGGTCCACAATAAGTGACCAATTTGCCTTGAGCACACCCATTAAGGAAATACTAAATTCTAGACAAAAATAGTTAGTGTGACTAAACTACCCTAATTAAATATTGCAGCATAGTTATAGTAGCACTTACTTCTCTTCTCAAATTTGAGGAGTAAAAGATTTTTTAGGGATACGTACATAAGGGTAATTTTGAAAAAATAAATTAAATTTTTTCTTGATTATATAAATGGACACTTATTTTGAACCAAAATAAAAAGACAAATCGGTCACTTATTATTATTTAGCCTACGTGGAGCACAATCAGATAAAATGTCCACCAAAGCCCGTGTTAAGTAAGGTGTATGAGACGAAGGGGGTATTTAAGTTTATTTATTCAAATGTATGGAGGTAATTAGGACTAGCTATAGTTTAGGGGGGAAACTAGTAATGGGTGTCAAGTTTAAGGGTGTTTAAAGGTATTTTGTGTAAAGGCAAAAGGAAGCAATATGATTCTTGGGTTCCGAAGAGGAGAGGAAAAAGAGTAAAAGAGAAATTATGAAAAAGTCATGGGCCCCATAATGCACATGTCAGACAGTGAAACCCTCGTACAACCGACAATAATTGAGTCTCACGTCAAATAAAATTTCTCTCTCTGTGAATTATTGGTATAGGTACAAGAGTATACTAAATTAACTTTTGTAGATTCTTGAATGAAATACAATACTCGTAGTTGAAAGAACCACTCTAGCAGAACATGAAAGGTCATCGGTTGCCCAAACGTAAAAAAGAATGCTGCATTTGAGGAATCTAGCTAGATTAATGTGTCTGTTCAAGTATTTTTGATTCTAGTAGTAGTTATAGTGCCAAACACATAAATACTCTTTCACAACTGATCGATCATACATAGTTGGGCATGGCTTATATTCCACCGCACAAGAGGCACTCAAAAGGTTTGCCGTTGCCGGAGCCAACTCCGGCACTGGAGACTCATCTGTTACCTAGCTTCAGGAAAAAAGTAAATCTCAATTCGTTTGGAGGTGATCAGCAGAAGAGAAAGGAAAAGAATTTCCCTAGGAAGAATGTCGCTTACACTGATGATGCTGTTGTGAAATGGTTCACCGTTGGCTTGGCTGATCATTCTCCATTTTCGTCTCTTCTGAGGCTCCACCCTGTTTCACTCGAGTCCTTTGAGCAAAAATCACGCCAAAAACCTTTGTCTTTACTTCTCCCGGAAGGTACTACTCCAACTTTTTAGAGATACAGAGTGTCAAATTGACTAATTTTTAGTATGAACTTATACTGTTTCTGGTAACTTTAATTCAGTGATCTTCATTAAGCAATATGTATACTTTTTTTCTAGGTTGCAGTGAAGGAACAAATGAGCTTATAGATAAACCATGGCTTTTTGTTGCTGAAAATGTGAAGCAGGACTTATTTTTGTCATTTCAGCATATGAAGCGTGAGATGGAGGAAACCGATATGGCTGAAGTAAAGCCGTCTGTAGTTGCTCGTTTTGGAAAAGTTCTCTTTTATGGGTCAGTCTTCTTCATTTCACTCTTGTTATGCTTTATCCTCAATTCTTCATTTCACTCTTGTTATACTTTTTCTTACTTAAATCTGTCTTCCACTCCTTGTAATCACAATAAAAACTACTACATTAGAAGTTCACAAAGGCTACTACTACATTGAATGGACACCTATTGTATTCTTCTTTTATTGGGATCGAGAATGGCACAAGATAGATTATTTTTACCTATTAATTTTTGTGTTTGAAGCGATGTTGTTTATTAGGTTTTTCAAATACAATCCATGTTAATCCCTCTCAAATTCTTTGTGATCCAGGAATTCTTCAATTTGTCAAGAATCCCTAAAAACTAATCCTTTGAGTGAAACTACTTTGAGAAAAATGAAAAGGTTTTTCCATACGGATGTTCCTCCTGCAAATATGGATTACATGGAAAACCAAGTAGCTGAGAAACTTGGGCTAGAATATGTGCAAGGGAAAGAATTGTACTGTGTAAAGGTATGACTTTCAAGCTTCTAACAAATGTCTTACTTCGACTGTATTGTTTCTTTGAGCTCTCTACCTTATGTTTTGTAGCTTTCCGATGAGTTGCGGCCTGAATCTACTGTTTCCTGCAAATGTACTGTGGCCAAAGATCATAAAAAGATTCAGCATTATAAGGTTAGTAGATATAGTGAAAGTACAGGAGGGGTGAATTGTGACCCTTTTAAATTTTTAGTCGGCTACTTTTCGAACCTAGTCGATTAATACGGAGACAACCTGCAAAAAACTAGTACTTCGATTTAAACAAGTCGACTAGAAATTCAGAATCCATAAACTCAAAATCCTAGTTCCGCCTTTATTTGTTATCATCATTAACATATCTTCTGCCTCTTACCTTTACTTCTTGCAGTTTGTCTTTCTTTAACAATTTTTTGACACCGACCTTTTTTTTTTCTAAAGATTGAGTTAAACCGAGTACGCCACATGGTAGCAGACATGAGCTGTCTTGGAAAGAGTTCAGACTTGAGGTTAATTCTATATACCAAGAAAATCAACATAGCTTTATCTGTAAGTTTTCAGTATTTAATTTTTTTAAACATTACTGACAAACAACTACATACAATTACTCTCTGGTGCAAGATTTCTTGTTTTGTTCTCTTTTATGGCGTTGAGGGTTGAATGTTTCTCCATGAAAAAGAAAATAGTAACAATAAAGCTAATACCATATTGGATTACAATAACTACAACCAAGTATAATCCTACGTGTGGAGTCTGGGGAGGGTAGTGTGTACGTAGACGTTACCCCTACCCCGGAGGGTAGAGAGGCTGTTTCCGAAAGACTCTCGGCACAAGGAGATGAAAAAGAGGTACTGGAACAATAACAACCACATAAGCCAAGAAGATAGTGCCATCAACCTAAGAATCAGAAAAATAAATAGAAAAAGCCATATCAATAATCAGAATAATGGAAAGATACTAGGCAATCGGAACAGAAAACAATACAAACACAACAAGTACCACTAACAATCTAAAGCAAGATACTACAAACTAGCCTTACACCCTCAACCGGAAGAAAAATGCTCAATTATCTACTAACCTACGACCCTAATGCTCGCCCTCCAAGCCTTCCTATTTAAGATCATGTCCTCGGTGAGCTGGAGTCGCGCCATGTCCTGCCTAATCACCTCTCCCCAATATTTCTTAGGTCTCCCTCTAAGCATAGCTAAGATACTAAGCATAGCATGTCGATTAACTATCAATACATTAAAACAATTAATCTTAATATTAGGTACCCCGTGGGCGCTTGGACTCGCCGAAAATGTCGCCATGTGGCGTGTCGGTTCCTCCAAAAGCAGTGTATTTTTGGAGGCTCCAACATGTGCATGACTGCATTTTGGAGAGTCTGCGCAACATAGCTAGTGTGATTATACCGAGTGATTTTTAAATGGGAGAATGCATTTTTTTATAGAACACCAAAATTTCTAGACTTAGTGTAAAACTGTGATTTTGCTTGTTCTTTTCATGGACATATTTTAACTGCGATGAACAATAACTTATGTTCCATATAACTGATTTCATTTGTAGTTTACTTTTCATCTTCTCATTAGGACTCTTGCACTGTTTAAATGAAAGAACACCACTAATGCTTTATGTGTAGGCTCCTTTTTGTGAGTGTTGTGCTTTAGATGATTCTTTGCATTTTTTTCAGGATGAGGAGATTAATGAAATTAAAGATCTTATTGGTTCTGCTATTTTGGACTCAGACGTTGAGGGTGGCTTAAGATGGCCCTTAGGCAAGAATTCTTCGGGGGGTCGATATGTCGTTTCTAGTATTGGTCACACAACTGCTAAATCATATAGAAATTCGTCAGTTAGGTTTAAATTTCGACATGCAGATCGATTTGATTTCAAATCTTCAATTGGTGAGGTTTCTCCAGAGATTTTCCTGAAAATGCCTGGAATTATATCCCAGTTGCGAGTAGGTTCTCTTTCCTTGACAAGCAATTATGTTTCTTTTTGTTTTCTTTCTAATGTTGTTTATCTCTGCTGCATGCATCAATGTTGGTCCGGTCTTACTGGGAACCATATCATAGTATTCATAGCATAAGCTTTGACTATTGCATCCTCTCATGATTTATCCACCAAATTGGAAACCTTTTCTTCCAAGAAAGATGGACTAACAAAAGCTTGCACGTGCCTTGGAAATACAAACAAAAACATGCTGTGCCTCTTCATTGTTGAATTGATTAGCCATTCTGTTTTATTTTTTTACTTTTACCATCACTGCTGAAAATTTACATTTTCTTACCTAAATTGCAGAAGCAAACAATCGATGAAAACCTGGTGTTTGAAATGCTTGTAGACAACTTGAAGTTAATCTGGGATCACTGTCTGTTAGATGGTTCTTCAAGCTGACCATGTTTTATTGCACCGTGGCCCTTCATTTTCTCCCTGCAAACATCCGCGGAACTGCCAGACTTAAAATTTCACAAAGTTAACTCGTGTTGGTGAAGAAAGGTTTGACCTTTGAGTTTTGCAGTTGTGGAATGTTATTGAACTTTGTAGTTTTGAAATGGAACAAACTGACCAGGGCCTCGGAACTGTCGACGGTTTTGTTATTAAGCCGTAACGCATAGAACATCGTTGCTGGACTTGCTATTGAGTTGGAACGTTTTGATTTTACATATATATCTGAATCGATGTTTGACAGTATAAGCTTCTAGCTTTCTACTACATGGAAACAAACAAGAGGATGTAACGAATAATATGGAAAATTAAGACAAATAGAAAATCAGAGAACTGGAGAAGAACATTTGTAAGGGTCAGATAAAATTAGGGGTCAATTAAAAAGCCAGTTATATTTTACGCAGAATGCAAACATACTTGGAGCATAAGCATAATCACCAAACAGGTTAACTTTTGAATCAAAAGAGGCTCACGGTCATGGATGCTAGAAACAAAGTCATAGGAATCCAGTTTTAATAAAATGACCAAGCTAAAAAGACAAATGTAAAGCAATAGGAGAACAGTCGAGCCAAAGATGAACCACACTCTGTCTAAAATAATAGAGGGGATTAGTGCAGTATCTTTGAAACAATTATTCAGTTCCATAAATAAGGATGGAGAGTGTGGTAAAAATAGCTAAAGTTGCACTATTATTCAAACTTGTGGCCATGTTTTTATTAGTAAGGATCAAACAAATCATCCATAAGAAACCAAAACAAAAAAAAGAAGTTGAGTAGTAAGTAAGAAAAAAAAGAAAAGTAGCAACTTTTATTGCCTCATCTTGTTCTTAACAATTAAGAAAAATAATAAAAATAATGTACAAACTGCTTTTCTCCGTAAAGTATGACACCAGGAAAAATGGTGTTTAATATAATGACGTATATTAAATTTAGAAAGTTCCTGGTACCCTATACAAAGCTGTGTACTAATTCTAGAAAACTGTCACTATAAGCTTTCAAAAGGAATGTATGTGCTTCACCTTTTCTATTGCCTGCTTCACCTTGTTCAATGGTTCTTCGTGCAAATAGGCTGGATCATCTAGCTCTGCAGCCAGGCTCTGCTCCCCAAGAAAGGCACGAAACGAGTCCGCAACTGAATTTGACAGAGAACTGAGATTATAACCCCCTTCTAAGAAAAACACACAACGCCCTCCGCATAAATCTTTGGCAAGTTGCTTAATGTTAGAGGCTAGCATGTAATATGTTCCTGTTGTGAACTGCAGGCTGGCAAGTGGATCCAACACATGGGCATCATACCTGAAAATTCTCAAGGACACCTTAATCAAATAATCACCGAACGTGCATAAGAAGAACCACAGTCCTATCTTAATATTTACATTAGGCATTGATATGCCAAACAAAGATTACACCTTTAGACTGCCAAAAACATCTCAAGAGCAGAAACAGAATAGGAGAGGCATGATAGGAGTGATTATACCAAATTTTCCCACCTCACTACAGCTTGCTAGTTAGCAGACAACACAAGAATATTACATGATCAATTATTCACAACGAAAGAAAAAGGAGTCACACTATTACAGTAACAGAATGGTAAGAAAGCAAAATGAACTGAGTTTAACTCACGTTTTTTCTTTTTTCTATTTCCAAAATTTTAAGACTATTTCACAGATAAGAAAATTACCCAGCTGAAACAAGGATTATATCTGGCTTGAACCTTTGAGCACATGGTACAATAACTTCATCAAACACCTTTCGCATTGCTGTATCACCTGATCCTCCGGGTAGAGGGAGATTCAGTGTTGATCCTTCACCACTTCCACAACCAATTTGATCTATCTTGCCAGTCCCAGGATAACTACCAGCCTACACTGATCCAAGGATATCGTAAGCCCATGACTTATTAAATTCGTCCAATTGCAGAGTTCCAAACCATATTAGTTTTACACTTCTAGGCGAATAGCTGGTATATAATGACATGAACTTTCTTTTGCCAATTTACACAATGGTTGGTTGAGGTGAAAAGAGGAGGATGCCAGCAGGAGTGAAGGTTGTTTTCTTGTTCATGTAAGAAGTGAAAGAAGACGTGATGAAAAAGTGAAGAGACATGAATCTACCAAACCAGAAATTTAACCTTGCTGTCGTTGGACAAGATAATCATAGTAAATGTATTTTATTTCTGCTCCATTTGTAACAAATAACATGAAGGGAAGTGCCACAAAAGTAATCACTAAGTGCCAAACAACCTTGAAACGAACATACTGTCAAGGATAATCATCTTTGCAGATCACTAGATCTAGCTCAATTATTAGATTAAAAAAAGGTTCTTCCCTTCATTCAACTACATTTTATACTAGCAGTTCTTTTCAGAAGTAGAATGTCAAAAGATTTTCAAAGCAATCTGTTCAATGTTATGTGTAGCTTACTTGGTGAGTTGAAAGGAAAAAAATATCGGGGTCCTCATAGAAGGCGTCATTGGTTCCATTTCCATGATGAACATCAAAATCTATGATAAAAACACGCTTCAATCCATGCATTCGTTGAGCATAACGAGCAGCAATAGCAATATTTCCAAAGACACAAAAGCCCATGGGCCCCTTTGGAACAGCATGGTGACCAGGAGGCCGAATTAGCGCAAAACCGACAGGAGGATCCTTGCTAACTTTTGATGCTGCAACCTGAAATATCATATGCAGCAATTACTCCAGCTTTGAAATGCTTTAGTTTACCATCATAATGCATCCTAAAGTGATTGCTACATTTGTAACTTCTAACAATAGTTCCAGTACACTGAGATATTACTATTTTGGATTGAGACATTACCACTGAATCAACCAACGAAATTCCAGCTCCAGCTGCAAATAATGACTCCTGGAATGTCTGCATTATTTAATGTCCACATCAGAGTTCACATTGCCATAGAACACATTCTTTGTGTTTTTATCCTTCTCACAGAAAACAATAATTTTAGGATCTTCAGCTCATAAGAAATTCAAAAATTTGCTTGATTAAGAATTATTATTTCATTAATAATAAAGAATTTAAAGCATGAAATTTCCTTAATGGAATGCTAATGTTGGGATTAACTATAGGGTTAAGGTTTCAGAGTTACACTCCTCCCTCATGCATAATGAATTTCTAAACAGCATCTTCATAATGTTTAGCTAATCAACATAAAGCACCATAAATGACCAGTTGTATCTCATTATGCTGCTGCTGTAGAAGACTCATACAAGAAGCAACTAGCTTTTCTGATGGGAGTTTTCCAATTAATCCTCTTTCATGGTGTCCTAGAAGATTGGTTAAATAGATGCTTGCCTAACATGGTCTTATCCTTCCCCTTACAAAAAATAAACTTGAAACTAGAAGATAACCTTCTTCCATATAGAAATAGGCAAAATTTTGCAAGACCAAAGCAATCAAAGTTAGTCGAACAAATGCTTTCAATAAATAAAACATCAGAAATGTTTTCTGAAAACGTTAAGTCACTGTTTGACAACCTGTAAGACCATCTTGACTTGGTCCCCGGTCTCAGTGGAATGAGCTCTGCAAGCAAATGCTCATCCAGAATCAAGAGATTCCTTAAGACTACGTATCAACAGTTTTTTGTGCGACAAGTGACCTTTAATGAGAAAGGCGAGAAAGCTACTCTTTCTTTCGTTTTATATGGTAGTGTTGAATGGTCACAAAGTTTAAGAAAGAAAGAAGTAGTTTAAGAAAGAAATATTCTTGGGACATAGCAAAAAGTGCTCTTAAAACTTGTTTAAACATGCACTGAAATTACTATGGCTACAAGAGCGCATCATCAAAGGGTAAATGGGATGTTTATAGTTAAGAGAGTCTCCAAATATAGATATGTATTATTCCCTTGGGAACAGACTAAAGAAGGCCATGGACGAAGATGACTTAGTTGTGAACTTCCTCTGAGGATAGAGTAAGAAAAGTAAACTACGAACAGAATGAAACAATCAGGTGATGTTGTTTGGGTTTGGGGGGGGGGGTGTGTACTAGAAGGGTAAGTAACATAACTCTTCCAAAAGTTGCAAGAGTGAGTGCAATGTTGAAATACAAGAGCAATATATCATTGTAACTGGTTAATGTATTGGTGAAACCACATTTATGTTTTCCAAGGAAATCTGTACAAGGACAACAACATACCCAGTGTAATCCCACATAGTGGGGTCTGGGGACAAGGAATGTCAAAGTAAATTCGAAAAATAATGGAAAGACAGATAAATGTTAATCATTTTGGTCTCACGAATCATGTCAAGGAAGGTTTATTTCCAGTGGACAGAAGAGAAGGAACATAGAAGTGGCCATCCAGAAGCCAACTGAAGCGACAGATCTGCAGCAGCTAGAAGATTTATAGAAGGCACAGGTGGTTAGTTGCCATAGTTAGAGGAAGGAGGTGGAATAATCATATATTAATTCTCTGCACAGCAAGCAGCCTTATTTTAGGTCAGAATGCCTCCTGTAGTCCTTCTATCTTTGGAACATTTTGCAGCACTAATTAAGGAGCATTTTCTGGTGATATTTGAAGGATGGAGTATACAATCTTTCCAGAACATTACTTGAAACCATATGCTAGTATTTCCTTCTTAATCGATCAAAATATTTGTACTTATCAAATTTATTTGGTTTCCCTTATATGAAACATTTAAAACTCTTTTACAAAGGCAGTTATTTATATTGGAAAATTGATTTCGTTCTGATTGTTGATAAAATAAAAAATTATATCCTTATTTAGTCAATAGAGCAACTGATAATTATAGATATTTTTACAACATAACCAGTACGAACTTGCTTGCAGATGTCTTCATCCACATCAACTTCATTCCGAATCAGAAGGAAAAAAAAAAAAACTAATCAATGAAGAAATGCTCATGCAAAGCATGAGTCAAGCTATAGTATCTCTAATTTCAGATGCAAAGTTTTTCTATTTTTCTGTTTTTGTGCAAGGTGGCAATAGAGTAGGCTTCTAGACCGACCAAGGTTATAAGGGTAAACGTTAATTACAACTAATCACAACCTTAACCACTTGATATTGTATCCCTGAGGTGTAAACAAATCCACATGACAGAGGCGAAGTGTTTGGGACAAAATAATGTGTGTATGGTATGGTTTGAAAGTGGTTTAGATTGATAAAAGAGCAAGGAAAGATCAAAAATTGAAGTTTGGATAGAACTCATGCTACAAGACCCTCTCATGATGGGCGCGTATCGTGAGAGAGGGAGTCCTAACCAAGTATGCGAGACATGGTACTGAGGTCCATTGTGAGACCCACGAGAACTATGCATTGCCAGGCCACCCAGTCCCACAATGGCCATGCGTCGTGAGGAAAGCTGGATTGGAGACTGGAGAAAATCAACAGACAGAAATGTTACGGCATTCGCGAGCTGCATTGCGAGGCTTGGCCCTGGGAGGATCAAGCAAGCTCATGTCGCGATCCCTCTGCAAGAAAGTGAATTTTTGCCAAGGCAAAGGGAGCTTGTAGAGCAAGAGCTCACGTACTTTAAATACAGCAGAGTCGGGAAAGAGAAGAAAGAAGAGGAAAAGAGTTAAGGTTTTGAGTTATGCAAGGAGTATCCTGCCAATCAAGGTGAACGTTTAGTGAAGTTTTGGTGCATTTATGACTAATTAATGCTAGCCCAAACACTCATGGAAAATTTCTAGATCCTTAATTTAATCACAAGAATCCACCAAAGATAGAAATTTCAAATGTCTCCAAGAGGTAATCTTACTACCTAAATTTCATTTATTACGTATAAATGAGCTTGTTGATAGCACTTATGAGTTAGATTGATGGTCCAGTGAAGTTTATTAAATGAACCCTAAAGTTGGTTACTAATGAAGGTTGTTTAGGTAGTTAAGGAAGATGATGAATGGTAGTTGGGAGTATTAATTGGTATTGTACTGACCCAGATGTCTTTAATAACCTATTATATTGATAGGATCGAAGTGATGAACAAGGATTACACCTTAATGAAGAATTGGGTGTTTAGATGGCATGGAGCCTATCCTAGGCCTTAGGTGGGTCTTGTTGGACTTCAATGGCCATGAACAGATGCATGCGAATTATCTTTGTGCAGATTGAGTGTTGTTGGCCGTGTTTAACTGTCATTTAGGTTACGTGTTTAAGACATTCCTCAAGAATAAAGAATAATCAAATCTGATAAATTCGGAACACCAATAACTTTTTTCAGAAATCACAGACTATCTTCATCACGTATATTTCTGATTGCAAATAAAAGTGGAAACTGACTGCTATAGAGACTAGCATCAGAAAGCGGGAGAGTCAGCTTAAAATATGTATTCTTACTGTGGCAGTAGCATATGTTGGTCCAGATCCTTCGATGAAAATTAGACCTTTCTCTGAAGCCCGATCCATAGCCTGCAGATGATAGTCGACAAATCAAAAGAAAGATAGGATAAGAAAGAATAATGGTGACAATGGTGACAACAACGACGATAATAGTTGTCAGGAAAATAACCTCCGTCGATAAGCAACGGAAGTCATTTTCCTCATTTTGATAGAAAATATTTTCTGGTAACCAAAAATGTCTTTCTCATGAAAAATATTTTCCTGGAAAATGACTTCCGTCATACCAAACACACCCTCAGAGAAGTTCTGATTTACTGTACGATGACATTCAATAAGAAGAAGTACCAAACCTTATGGTTATTCTACCTTCTCAAGCCCTGAGATATATGCCCCAGCATGAACACTCGCTATGTCATCTATTGTAGCGGGTCTGAAAGTCTGCACTTCAACAATATCTGAGCCTCGAAACTGGATCACATGATAGCTTGATTAGTTGCAAAGGTATTGAAAAAACATTAATATGTGCATCTTACTAATGCACAAAAATGTTCTGGTCATTTTTATCAGACCCATATCCCCGCCCCCTGCCCCCCAAAAAACAGATCGTAGAGTGCTACCAGGAACTCTCCTGCCCTCCTATGACTAACCCAGGTGGTAAGGGTCATATGACAAAGGAAACTTCACTGCATTAATGAACATCAATAAAGATCCACCTAAAAGGGGTGGATCTTATTAAAGTTCATTTGTTTTTTACTTTATAAGATCTCCCTTAGGTTCCTTGTAGAAGTTGCTTCACACTTTATGGTAGGATGGTAGCTCCCATAAAATCCTTCCATGTGTTGCTTTGCACTTCAGAATAGCTCACTTAAGTTAGCTAAATAGCTGAACTGGCAAATATGCCAGCCTTAAAAGGTAATTAAGCACTCAAAACCATAAATTTGATTACTTCCAACATCAGTTATTATTTATTTTAGTGCATTATAATATTTATCAATCTTACCAAATGGTAGAAGGTCTGGTTACAAGCTAGAATAAATGCTTCTTGCCATATATAGTGATCAAGATAACTGACACCAAATTCTAGACTTCCAGCACATAAGTCAGAATCTATTTTTCCTTTTCTAGTAATAATCTATTTTTTATAACCAAAACATCCTCGAGAGTCAGTGGTATACAGTTTGCAACCCAGTGTATAATTGGCCTACCCCTCTGCCCTTCTCTTTTTATATTCCAGAGGCAGGGTTTAAACAAGTGACTTCCGCCTAACCTATACACCACGTGCTGCGCTTTTGCCACTAGACCAAAGCTCTGCGAGCTCTTACCTAATAACAAAATAAAATTTACTTATCAAATTTTTCCTTTTATTTGAGTAGGATGTCCGTACAGATCTAAAATAAATGAAAATCTAAAAACCTCTGTCCATTTAACTGGTTTCATGATGAACGGACTTTCCTATGAAGTTGTTAATGTGAGATATTATGATGTTTTAACAGATTCGGGTATAGTAAGGGGGGTTTTCAGTTATTCCCTTATAGGGTCGTTTGGTTTACAAACAAGTTATACTGGGAAAATAATGTAAGGATTATAATAGGGAGATTAAATAAGAACGAAATTATTTACTTTTTTTAGTAGATGTCTGGTTCATAGGATTAACAATCGGGTTTACGGGATATAGTATAAAACATATTCTTTAGTTTACACTACATAAACTTGGGTAAACTTGTATTTCCAATTTTAACATTGGCCTTCTTAAAGGACTTACGAAGAAGAGCTTTAGAGAAGGTCATCTTTTGTCATGTGGTTGTTTTCTCCCAGGATACGCTAACCTCGAAATCGATATCCCACATTGAATGTGGTATAAAATAACACCAAAATTGTGGTATAAATAATCCTAGGATTACTTATACCAGAATCAAAAATTTCAATCGAACATAGAATAAAATAATCTCACATTTTACCCCTAAATCTTATCCTTTATCCTGATTTAAACGACCCCTTAGGGGATATCTTATGTGCTTGTCTTTTATAAGTCACTGGTGAAAACAATGAACACAAAAATCAACATTGACATATAATTGCTCTGTGTTTGTAGCATACCTTAGAAGTCAGTTTCATCCTTTCCAGAGCTGTCAAAATTGCAGGAACTCTAGAGTTACATTCTGGATGTGATTCCTGAAAACTTTTTGTGGCTGAATTTCAAGAAATAGATATACCCAACACAACATAAAGGCATAGTAAAGGACATTAACAAATTCTAAGCTATAAAATGCTAGAATAGTGAAGTTTACAGCAGTGCTTCTTACCCTAAAGAAATCATGCAAGAGAAATATTAACAAAATCTGTATAAATAAAAGGAGGAGTCATTATATCCGATCCAATTGAATTGAATACTTTCAGGATCCTTGCACCATAGAAATCTGAAAACTCAGAGGTCTATCAATTTCTTTAGCCCAACGAAATTAAGGGGCAAGATCACATGAGTGAAAAAGTTTCAGATGGAACGATGCATTTTATTCCCAAAGATATTTACAAGCGAAATCTAGTTCAAACAAAAACATTAAGCAATAAACTATCACATTTATATGGCATCAAAGCCAAAATTTAACCACGATTTTAGGTAGCATCTGATAGAGCAAGAAAAGGCAGTGGTACAATTTGGCTAGTCCAATGTAACCACACCATGGACATCGCAACAACTTCTCTTGATCCTTCTTGTTTCTTTAACTCGAGGACAAAGTAGCGTATCCCTAAAAAAGGGGATGATGTAGATCTCCTCGGGTTATGTTTGATCTCCAAAATGCATTTGGTTTTACTTTGGGCTGATTAGAGGAAAAACTTCTCTTGACCCCTCTTTTTTGNTTCCAATGCAATCAAACTTCGGAGCTTAATTAACTGCATGTAGTTAGGAGTTTTACACATTTACACCTCCCCGTCTGTCTTTGTTCTAGTCATTATCCTTTTCTTTTTCTTAAATTTTTGTGACCACGAGGTCACTGGTTCGAACAGTAGAAACATCCTCTTGCAAAATGCAGGGTAACGCACAATATACACTCGTGGTCCGGCCTTCCCCGGACCCCACGTATAGCGGGAACTTAGTGCACTGTCCCGCCTTTTTTTTTTTCCTTAATTCATTTTGGCCAACTTAACATAGTCAAATATCCATTTTTCTAATTAAATTAATGAACAAACATGTAAATTTCCTTGTTAACAACTATTGTAATATAGCATAACTCACACTAGGCCACAATTTCTTTTCTAGATATCACTCAGTATAAAATCAACTATTAGGACTAATTGTTTTCATACAAAGATGAGCTGTTTACCATGCCTCCAAAATCCCATCAACAAGATGTAAAATGAAAATAATAAGGCAACTATTTACAAGCAATTGTCAGAAAATTCAACAGTTTAAACCAATTCAGGAAAATACTCACGTCCCACAGAAGAGCAATCCCCCAATTTATAAAATTCTATTCTTAACCCCACTGAGAGTTCGGCACAATACATTATAATATACAGATGAAGAAGAAATTAAATTATGAAAAAGAATTTGGGTTGGGTTGGGGGGAAAGAGTACCTCCTCCAAAGCTTCTTGAACAAACAGCAGGAAGCTCCATTCACCGCCGAAGAAACTATTTACACAATTTATAAGCTCTCTGAACGTCACAGAGCTATTATAATTAGATATCTGTGTCCAGATTTGTTTCTTTCTTTCTTTTTTCTTGATATCATGGAATTTTGCTGAACACAGAATTTAGAAGAAAACTTGTTTGGTACCGTCTGACCAAGGGCATTCTTGGAATTTTGATGTGTAAGTGCTAACGTGTATCTCTATTTGAAATTTTCAGCCACCCGGTAGCAGTCCGTCATAAGGCTGCTTATCGGGCGGATTGAACGGTTATTTACTCTTAACAGTTTGGTTTATCAGTTTTTAAATATATTAATCTGCTAGCCATTCAATAAGATATCGGGCGGATTGGTATCGGTTTAGCTCTTATTGGGTGATTTATCGGCCTAATTCAATCAAAATAAAATAAAATTTAGTCTCTATATATTTAAATAGGTGGTCGACGTACTAAGAGGGGCGAAGCAAAAAAGGCACCGTAATAGATAAATCATCTGTCTAGAATCTTATTTATGATTATGCACATTGGCCTTAGTCCATGTAAAAGATTTCCAATTGGTCGTTCCAGGGTTTCTGATGAGCTANTGCCAAGCCCAGGGTTTCTGATGAGCTGGAGAAATCCAAAATTTGGAAACTGACTGAAATTAGTGAACCTGCTCAAGTTCGTTCCTCGAGGCTTCCAGATAGTCTACTGTCCGTGAGAGTAAGCATATGGTTCCTTTCTGTTGCTTATTTGTTTTATTTCTTCTACTTGGGGGTGAGGTGTCTAGGAGTTCACTGTTAGCTAGTTGTTCCCGAACAAGTTTTTGTCCGATCAATTTATTTTACTGGAAAGAAAAAATATGTAACTACACTGATTTTATAAATTAGGTTTCATAAGTACTCCAGTGCTGTCAAAGTAGGGTTTTTGATTATTTAATATATATATGGATAAAAATAAAATTTATATATATATATATATATATATATATATAAATATATATATTCTTAACGAGTTAACGGATTATCCGTTAAGAAAATTGAATAATCTGCTCCCAAACCGATAAGCCGTTAATAAAAAAATTTCAATCTGTTCCCCGTCCGTTAAACTGTTAACCCGATACCAATAAGCCATTAAGCTTTGGTTTCGGTTCGGTTTTCGGTTTCGGTTTGGTTTTGAACACCCCTAGTCCGTCATATTTTGCACTCTTAGGGGTCGTTTGGTATGAGGTATAAGAAGGTATAAGGATGGTATAAAAATTTAATATCACCTTAATATTATGTTTGGTTAGCAAATCAGATATAAGTTATAACACCGGGATAACTTATACCTTATAAGGGTGGGGTAATTAGCACCGGTATAACTTATACCTTCTTCTTAGAATTATGCAATTGTTATTCTTAATACAACATACCAAACAGTGAATAAATAACAATCTCAGCATAACTAATCCCAACATAACTTATCCCGGCATAACTTATAACGGCATAATTTGTTTGGTATGAGTGATAACGAATAATTAATTTCGCACTTAAATTTGAGATGAGTTTATTTTAGATTTGGTTGGAATAAAATCGTAATATAACTAATTCTGAAATTAGTTATTCCGGAATTGTAATGTTTTTATATTCCTATGAGAATATATGATAACTAATTCTCGGATAATTAACTATGGGATAACTTGTTTCCCAACTAGGATAGTTTGATATAGATATAAGTTAGGCATGGATTGTAATACACAAATTAAGTTGTGCATAGATCAGTAAAAATGAATTCTAATGCATAGATTATTTTTGTTGGTGTTAGTTCATTATAAAAATAGAATATATGGTGTGTAACTTAGTGGGCGTTAGGACATAAGAATTGTAAAATTCAAAAAAAAAAAGTGAAAAAAAATTTCAAGTGAAAATGGTATTTGAAAATTAGAGTTGTGTTTGGACATGAATATAATTTTGGGTTATTTTTTATGTTTCGTGAGTGATCTAAGTGAAAATTTTGAAAAAACAGTTTTTTGAAGTTTTTCAAATTTTCGAAAAATGCCAAAATGCATTTTCAAGTAAAAATTGAAAATTTTATAAACAAACGCTGATTTCGAAAAAAAGTAAAAAAAAAAAATCGAATAAAGGGAAAAAGAAATTATGTCCAAACGGGCTCTTAATTTTGTGTTTGATTTAGAACTATATAAAAATTAGTTTACAACTATACCCTTGAAATTTTATAGGACTTTTCTATTTCATTTAACTGGAAGATCAAAGTTTCAAGCCTTTTTGTTCCTCCTTCATATTTCGTGTCCCTTTGTTTAATATAAAAACAAACAGTTTCATATCCATTTGCTTGGATATCATTTATGGATTTCAATAAATATCTTGCATATCCCAGAGAAACAACTAATAGCAGCGATCAGCTCACTTCATCGTGATATCACAACAATAATACTTCTGCGCGAGGATATAAAGATTGTTTCCAATTAATCCTCGGTTCAAGAAAACATAAGTACCATATTAATAAAAATATAAATATACAGTTGTTTAAGCTGAATTAATATTTGATATCACCAATTTTTGCGTGTACTAGTTTTTGAGCCAATTAGAATCATGCGAATCTATTGCAGTTTGAATTGTAGGCATAAATTAGATCTATTTCTTGACACTGGTTTCAGTTTGAAAAGGATATTTTGTAATTTTGAAATCTTTATCCATGTATTGTGTATACGGTTAAAATCATATGCCTCCGATTTATAGGCTCGAGGGGTAGTCATGAGCCCGAGTTCAGGCAAGGTCGAGTTCGAGCCCGATAGATCAGACTCGAGCTCGAACATAGGAGGCAATGCCCGAGGATCAGAGTACGATGAATACCGTAGCCGAGTACGCTCGACCCCGAAATAATGCCGTTACAGGCTTCTAACAGAATGAACGAGATTCCTGTCATGCCCCCAAAATTATGGCGCAAATCCCCGAATAGAATTGTACGATTCCGTACTAGGCAGTTAGACAGCTGTCCTAATAATATTCCTTACTGCAAATAGAAATGTACCTTATTTAGGGTTCCCCTATTATATAAAGGGGACCTCAATCATTTGTAAAGATCATCTAATCATTGGCAAAGGATATACTATCTTACTTTTTCTGGCTCATTATTCATCAGGATTGTCTTTTCTCTTGACTGTTCTTACTTTATAGTTCTTGGTTCATCTCGAAGTCACTAAGCTCGAGGTCGATACTGCTAAGCAACATTGGTTTGATTCACTTATTTTTTTTTCATTTTTACTTCATACTTCTTGACTATTAATTGGTATTGAACTAAATCATGTAGCATTAAATCCACAAATCAAATTTAATTGTCACTCATATTTTCGAGGTAAACAGTTTGGCGCCCACCGTGAGGCTAAAGATAATAGTAATTATTTTATTACTAATTCTCATTACGCATGTTATTTTTACATTTTTTCTTGTCAAGATTTTCTGATTCTCAGGATTAAACATGTCAAACTCGCAAAATGCACATGTTTATGACAATGAAATTCTTGGATTTCATGGGGAAAACGACAATGTAGGGGTCGGTGTACCACCGATAACCCAGGGGAAGTGTCAA